ACTCATATATATCAATATAAATTACTTGTTTATATATATATATATATATATATATATATATATATATATATATATATATATATATATATATATATATATATATATATATATATATGTATATATATATATATCAGGCTTTCCCAGGAAAGGCGTGCGGTCGCACGCCTTGTTTGTGCTTTAAAATTAAAAGTAAATCTTAAAGTAAATAACAGAAATCTGTTTGTGCTTTAAAATTAAAAAATTAATGTATATTATTAAAAAAAAATTTACCTATATTTTATTTATTTATATATATATTTTTTTAGTGTGGTAGTTATTTTAGCTATGAAAAATCAAATCAATAAGAAAAATAAAATCAAAAAAAAAAAAAGGTTATAGTTTAATGAAAATAAAAGGACCTTTTAATGTAAAATTTGTTTATGACTTTTATCAGTCAGTAATACTTTAAAATTCACGATAGAACTATAAACAATTTTTAAATGTTTCGTAAATACATTTAAATGTTTAAATGAAAGCGCGAAAACAATTGCTATTTATTTGTAAAATATGTTTTTTTTTTTATTTTAAAATGAAAGAAAATTTTATTGTCAAACGATTGAGTTTATTTTATTTTGCAATCATTAATTGACATTGTTAACAAGTGTTAATAAATAATAATGTCCCGAAGGAACTGTTTTCGTAACAATGACAACAGAAGCAATGCAGTTATTTTTTTAACTTTTTTCGTAATTACAAAATTATGCAATTGAATAATTTCAACGTAATAAAAGGCGAGCATTGACTCAGTATAATCGGTTTAGAATAAGTCGAGAGAACTTTTTTCACATTAAAGTTTTGTTATGTTTAAAAACTCAAATAATATATTTAATAATTAAAACAGGAATTTATTTTCTTGGAGAATAATGTCATTGCCTTTGCATAAACCTTCGTAAAAACTAAATTAAATTAAAAAATTTAACTAAATTTGTCTAGCGTAAATAATGAATCAGTTTTTTAATACATTGTCTGATAAAGTTCGCGAATACATTACGTATCATGTCTTTTTATGTTCATGAAAACTTAATGACTTATAGTCGTCTTTTTCTTGACTTGTATCAAATTTTGTAGCTGAAAATAGCAACCCTAAAAAAAAAAAAAAACAGTATAAAAATTTTGAAAAAAATGTTCAAGACTTTTTTTTTTTTGTTACAAGAATTTTTTTTTTTTGAATTTTTTTTTTTATTATTAAAATATTTTTCTTACATCTAATTTCAATTTTATACTTTGTTTAGACTTCGTTTCCTTTTTTTAATAATATTTTTTATTCTCTGTGGATAAGTTTCGCTTTCCCACGAAATATTGCCGCGGTCACGTTTTCTGAAAAAATTTTTCTATGCGTGGACAAACATGGCATGCGATCGCACGCCTTTCCTGGGAAAGCCTGATATATATATATATATATATATATATATATATATATTATATATATATATATATATATATATATATATATATATATTTCAGTAGTTTAGTTTAAAGCTAGTGAAACTCTGTTGTTTGCGGTCAATTCAAGTTATTTGCTTTTAAATATTATAGGCTGGTGAAAAACACTACCATCCTCACTGTGCACGATGCGCAAAGTGTACTCAGATGTTTGGTGAAGGAGAAGAAATGTATTTACAAGGTTCTGATATTTGGCATCCTCATTGTAGTGAAGAATATCAAAGAGAGGTTTTTATTAATTTGTATTCAATAATTATACTAAATTAAATGGCCATCAAATTAATTGTTTAAATAGTGTTTAAATAAAGTTGACATTTGTATTTGCAATAATACTTTCATCATAATTTAAATATTTATTGTATTAAATTATCACAAAAATTGATAAAATAAAAATTTTAAAGTTTGAATTTTAAAAATAATTTATTAATTAGAACACACCAAAAGAGCAGCGCAAAGAGAATGAATATAAAAATGGTAAATAGTTTTTTCTTATGTTAAATTTTTATTGAATTTGACTAAATTGACTAAAAGTTAAAAGTCAAAAATTTCCGACTCAAAATCAGCTGAAAGTCAAAAATTTCAAAGCCAACTGAACTGGCTTTGAATAATCAAATAGATTTAATTGAAGATGGATTTACTACTAATCAACTAAAAGTCTATCTAGTTGAATAATAATCTTATATCATTTTATTCAAATTTTTTAAATCTTTAATTTTTGTTTGTTCATTTAATAACAATAGGATGTATTGTTATAACTTTTACATGCTATCTAGTAGTTTTTTTTTTTAACTTATTGTTTTATAGGATTCATACAAAGTTATTCATAGCAATATTAATACCTAATTAAACTTTTGATTATGTATTTTTTAATTTTTATAAATATGATTGTATAGAATTTTTGATATTTAGCAAATAATTAAGATGGTCCCTAAATCATTGGGGCTTGGGAATAAAATGTTCTGTAGTCAGAGTGGCCATGCTCTCATGATGTTTGTTTCAGTAATATTTAAATTTCAGCTAAATCAACTTTTAGTTAAAAAATGTTTTTAAAAGTGTATTATTATTTTTTAATCAATTTAATCAACAGTCAAATTATTTAAAAGTTGTAACTACACTAAAATTTTCTTGAGTAGAATTTGCAGTTAGATGGCATTTTTCTAATACTTTCAGAATTCCAAGAATAGGAAAAACCAAAATTAATCCTTAGATTTTTTTTTCTTTTTCTTATTGTTTTTATTTAAGAATCTATTTTTGTGACAAAAAATTTATTATAAAAATTTGAAAATTTCCTGATGAAATAAAAAAATTCAATAAAATAAAAATTAAGTAAAATAAAAAAAATTCAGTTTTTGTTGAAAAATTAGTAGTTGAAGTAAAAAGTATTTACAAAATGTAAATAAGCATTTTTTTAAAAAATGTAATAATGCACAAAAGTGTTTTTTTTTCTTGATTTCATTCATTTATTTCAGTTCTTGAACTATTTCCAAAATCATTATTAAGTTTAAATTTGATCTGTGAATTAGACATTAGCTTATGTGATTATATCTTTTTTCTTTTTTTTTCTATTTTAAGGAAATAATTTGTCTGAATTGGTTATTAGAGATAATTCAAGCAAAAACAGATCTACCCAAAACTCAAATGCAACTAATGCACAATCTATTGATTTTACAGTATCAAATACCAAGACATCAGGCTTTCGTTCTGTTAAGCCCCCATTCATGCAAGAATTATCTAATGAAAATGGCAATGATGGTAAGTTGGTTTTATTTAACTATAAAATTTTGAATAAAATTTTTGCATTGAATTTAAAACAAATTTTTCTACTTATACCAAGAACCCTACAAGCCACCACCTCCGAGACGCTCGAGTAGTAACACATGGCAGACAAAATACACACCAATTTTGAATGGCCCTACTCCATTTCAAAAATCGGTATGCAAAAGTGTGATGATTTTTATGTTTTATAATGTTTTATCCATAATTAATTATTATATCTTGTAACTTTTTCTTAGTTGTTTTATTGGTAGAATTTTTTAAATTGTTAAATTTTTTTTAGTCTGAAACAAAGTTTGAAACAAACTTTCGCCAACGACCTTTGTCATACATAGAATCGGCTGCTAATAAGCGTATGCAATTTTTTATTGCTTTTGCAAAAAACTTCACATGGAATTTTTATTCTTTATGATTCCATATAATTTTTTTTTTAAGAGAATGGAGGAGATTTGAACAGACCAAAGTCTACTTTATATCCTTCAACAGTTGAGTTTTTTTACTATTATTTTTTTAACTCATGTTTAGTATAACAGATGTTTAGCACAAGTTTATCACAGCAGATGTGTTACAGTGTAAATATATATTTACAAAAAAATTTTCTTATCAAGTTATCTGGTATTCTATATTTTTTTATTAGTAAAAATAGGCATAATAAAATATGATAATAATATGTCATGATAAAATACTTTTTTTATAAATATGAATTAATTTATTTTATTATGTCATATATTTATTGCTTCAAATGTGTTAAATGTATATTTTTTGAAATTTCAAAATTTGTTTTTCTTCTCAGAAATTTCTCTGCACAGAGAAACAAGTGTGATAATTTCAGAGACTTGATAGGTTCGACTCGGTTACTCTTTTTTATGAATTGTGCAGAGTTTCTAATTTAATTATACAAGCAGTTTTTTGAATTATCAGGATTAGCACAGAGAGTAATGTCTGCTTATCTCTGAAGAACCTATTAATAAAGTTTCAAAACCCAAAAAATAATTTTTACTTGAGATTTTGGTAATCTTAAAGTATGGATGCAAATCTTTTTTGCTCATTGTGATTGTCAACATTATGTGTAAATAGTGTTTATCAATTACCTTTCATTCATGCTGATTCCAGCATTATGTACTGCCAGCCAGTTTTTCCAATTGATATTAAGCATAACCTAGAAAGAAAAAAAAAACATTAAATAAAGAACAAAGAGGAGAACAGTCATAAAATCTTTACTTATTTGATGTGATCTTTTCATTAACTATAAAAGTCTAAACAACAATTTGGTATGAAGCAGCCATCAAAATAAAAATTGTTCAGCATAAACAATTTGCTCAGAGTTGCGGCAATTTTTTAAAAAAATGGCTCAGTCTTTACACTATTATAAAATCTCTGACAAACAAGTTGCAACTTTAAATTCATAGGGATTGACTTACCAACTTGCACAACTCAAGTTGGTACATACCAACTTGCACAACTCAAAATCTGCATTCAAAGAACAAGCTATAAATCAAAATTATTATCAAATAAAAAATCTGTATTTTTTGAATCATCTGTCTAAATTGTTGATATGGTTTTTTTTTATGCTATGCAACTTATGCGCTTCACTTTTTTTTTTCTGATTGTAAAAGAGTTTTTTTCTTGTGGAAAATAGTCATATTTTTCTTGTAAATTTTTTTTGTGGCTAATCAATTATTTGACTTACTGTTTTTGTAAATGTTTTCTTGTGGCTAATCAATTATTTGACTTACTGCTCTTGTAACTGTTTTCTTGTGGCTAATCAATTATTTGACTTACTGTTCTTGTAAATATTTTCTTGTGGCTAGTCAATTATTTGACTTATTTTTCTTGTAACTTGAGTGAAACATTTATTTTGATAATAAAGCAGTATAGTGATCTTTTTTTTTTTTCAGAATGGTGAAATATCTCCGGGTGAAAAGCCTGAACGAACTTCATCTTTCAAGAAAGGAGATGGTGTTAACAAATGTAAATTTTAATTTTCAGATAAGCATCATTTAAACTCAGTATCTTTATATTTGATTGATTACATATATAGTTTTTTAAATCTCTATTTTTAATACATATATAAGTTTAAACATTGTTTATTAAATTAATATTTATTAATTTTTTTATTTACTTTTTGCTTATTTAAACTTTACATTACTCTCGAGTTCTTAATAAAAATGTGTGTATGGGGAGGAAGGCCTTTCATTATTTTTTGAAAATTTTCCCACCCACTTCAAGCTTATTAAGACCCCCTCCCCCCGTTTATTAATTTTTACTTGTTATCAACAACAACAAAAAAAATCAGTAAAAATCAGCTTTAAAAATTAGAAAATAATTATTTCAGTCACTGATAAAAACAAAAATTATCAGTGTAAACAGGCTTTGCAAATCAGCCACCAAGTAAATCTCAGCTTGTCGAACATGAAATTTTATTTCTTACCAAAGTTTAAAACTTATATCAGCATATTAAATCCTATTATAAAACAGCTGTTAGAAAATGCGCATTTGACCACAAGCCACACTAGAATGAAATAGTTTTATGCATGTTTCGTAAAAAATATAAGTTTGGATTTATAAACTGAAAGTTATAAATCCCCCCCCCCCCTTCCCCATCTCCCCCCGTTTATTAAATCTGGATTAAAGTTCCCACCCACCATTCCCCCCTTGTATTAAGGACTCAAAAATATTTATTATATTTTAACTATTTTTTTAAATTTTTTTTGTTTTTGCTATTACTACAATAGAAAGTATTAAAATTTAGTTTTATTTTAATTAGTAAGAAACTTGTATTTTAGTTTTATATAAAATTTTGTGAATTACTTGAAAAGTTATATATATATATATATATAAAACTTTATTATTTAAGTGCAAATGCGGATGTCTCAAAGAGCGGAGCAGAAACCTAATGTAATTATATCTTTTTATGTTAAATTCTTTTTGATATGTTAATTAAAGCATATATAAATTAAGTAGTTGTCAACCAAATGAACAGTTTTTTTTTTTTTTTTTTTTCAAGGTAATTACAAAAAAATCCAATTGTAGAAAAAAAATAATGTTCAAACTTTCATATTTTTTTTTGTATTTTGATATGTGACATTGTAAGTTGTATTTTGACATGTGACATTGTAAGTTGTATTTTGACATGTGACATTGTAAGTTGTATTTTGACATGTGACATTGTAAGTTGTATTTTGACATGACATCTTTAATCTTTAAAACTAAGCAGCAGTGGCGTAGTGGTAGCGCACTTGCATCAGGAACAAAGGATCCGTGGTTCAAACTCCACTTAAATGTTCATCCACAATGCTCTGTAGTAAGACCGTAAGGATTTCTTGGGGCACCTAAAACAAAGTCTTAAAAAAAATGTTTGCTGAGTTATTTTACACCTCAAACAATCAAACTATTATGAAAACAAAGTTTTACAATTTTATAATTACAAAGTATACCTTAAAAAAAAAACTAATCTAAAAAATGTTTCATTTAGTTTCAACTTTTTATAATAATTTGAATGCTCAACCGTTTTAAAATTTATCTGTAAATAAAAGAGTGAAGAAATTTTTTTAAATGTTCAGCCAGTAATTGGATTTAAACAATCGCTTGATTTACAGAGAACACTTCTGCAAAAGTTCAATTTACCATTAAACGTTCAAATTACCGTTAAAGAAATATATAGGGAAGACCGGGGCTAGTTGCAACAAGACCTTAGTGATGTACTAAACCAACATTGAGAAATATAATATAAAACTTAGTTGTTCCTCAATAGTGAAACAAAAAATGAAAAAGAAAATGTTGCAACTTACTCCGTACTGGTGAAGTTGCAACAGTCAACTAGGTAAGCTGCAAAACAATACTTTAAAAGTATAAGCTTTGCAGAGTTCAAAGAAATGTTACAAATTAATTTCTAATTTCAATTTGGCAACAAAATTTTTATAATTACATAAAAGGAAAGTAGTATTTTCATTACTTTTGTATTTCTGGAGCTCGTAAATAAAAACAATTTAATATCTCAAGAAAAGCGTCTCCATAAACATTTTTAAATTACTATTTCCTGTGAAAATCATAATAAATCAATAACAATATGAAGTAATGTTTACTTAACATTTCCTGTTAAATATTTTTTTTTTATGATAACAAAAATAACACAACTTATGATTTTTGAAAGGCATCAAAGGCAAAAAGCATTTAATTTATTTATTATTATTATTTTTTTGTTATTATTTTTAGGTCCCCCAAGAAGACCTAACGGTCTTGTCACAGAGCACTGCAGAAGTGCATTTAACCAGGAAGTTCACGCCTCCTTCCTTACCGTGACGCGAAAATATGTCCAGAGCTCGTTTCAAACCTGGATTTCCTGCTTATAAAGCAAGCGCTCTAACCACTGTGCCACGGCTGCAATTTAATTTATCTAATAATAATATTGAACTTTTTTGTAATAAGTTTGAAAAATTAAAATTATATATATATATATATATATATATATATATATATATATATATATATATATATATATATATATATATATATATATATATATATATATTAACTGTATTGCTAATGCTATTGCTAAATTGCTAATGTTTTGACTTGATTATTAATTTTTATTTTGTAGCAAAATTCAGAAAATGATTCAATTCAAAGTATGTCTCTTATTATCAAGCATAAATACAGGGGTTAAAAAGGGTCATTCAAAAATGAACTTTTTTTTGTTATTTTTAAAGTGTATTTTATATATAACTTTTTACTTGTTTACTTTTTTTAAAGTTATGGACAAAGTACTCTGTATCTGCCACTACTTTTTTAATTGTTTTTTTAATTTCAAATATTTACTTTAAATTTTTTATACTTTCTATGTTTTTTTTTTGTGTGTTTTCTTTCTTAAATACATTTAGTTTACTGTTTATAGGGAGTGGAAGTTTGAGTCGTACAAAAAGAATGGTAAATATATTTTTTTATTATTAGGGTTTAAATCCATGTTTCTGTGTGGGGTTACATGTTTTTGTTTGGTTGTGTGTAGTGCATCGGAAAACCGGTATCCCGGTATACCGGTCGTTTTTCCAATATCGATACTGAGCTCTCAATACCTGTATATACCAGTATTTCAGTTATTTTTTTTTTTATTGGACAGAAATTGTTTAATGAGGCTTCGTGCGAGTTTGAACACTGATATTTTTAGAGAGTTAATTAAATAGTTAAAGAGTAAATTAACGCGAAAATATCAAATTAAAATTTCAAATTATTTTTAGCCAAACGTTTTTACTAAAATGACGGCCACCAATGGCTTGCCATTCAGGGTTTTTATAACGTCCAATAAAAAACTCGCTGATTGCTTAAGGTTTCGACATGTCAAAAGCATCTATATCCATTCGCCAAATAGTTATGAAATATGCTACTAAAATTCGAAACTCGATAATAAAAGAATTGTCTGAACTTCAACAGCAAGGAAACTGATTTAGTCTTACATTTGGCGAGTGGACTTCTGTAAAAAATAGACATTATTTGAACATTAATGTTCATTCTCAAAACAGATTTTAGAATTTGGGTTTAGCACAAGTTACAAGTTGGACATTTCCCAGCAGAAATGTGTATTAAGTTAATTGACAACCTACTGAAAGAACACAACTTAAAAATTGATTGCAATATCGTATGTATTACCACGGATGGCACATCGCTTATGAAGAAAGTTGACGATTAATGTCCATCAACCAACAACTTTGCCTAACCCATGGAATCCAATTGGATGTGGTAGACGTCTTGTATAAAACAACAGTCGTAGGCTTTACAGATGATTATTTTAAATAAGATGAAGATAGTGCTGGTGAGATTTCAGATGAATATAATGAAGACCATTTAGATGGATTAAGGATTTTTCAGAGCTCACCAAATTCAAATGAACTTGCAAATAATTTAGGTCTATTGATAAGCAAAGTTAGAAAAAGTTGTAAAGCTGCTCAGACGATCACCGACAAAAAATGAAATCATTCATGTTTATGTAAACACTGAACATGGTAAAGAACTGTCAGTAATATTAGAGAATAAAACCAGATGAAACAGCTTACTTTTTATGCTAAAGCGTTTTTATGAATTAAAAATTCCATTCAAAAAGCCCTGATTGACTTAAATTTAGCTATTAACTTTACGGAATCTGAATTGGAATTGATATTATCAACATTTTTTATGTTCCTACCAGTAAAAATCTTTAATAGTATCAATAGTAAAGGCGAGTCTGTAATTCCACCTCTTTTGTATGGTTCAGACTTTGTCACCTCACCTAAAGACAAAGCTGAATTGTTTGCTAAAAACTTTTCATCAATATCATCTCTTGATGCCACTAGTTGCGTTCTACCTGATATAGCCGTCAAACAGGTTGATCCGATTGCTCGACATTCGTATCACTCCAGCTTCTGTATCTAAAGTGATTTCCTGCTTAGACTCTTCTACAGCTTGCCACCCCGGACAACATATCTGTTATAGTCTTGCAGAGGTGTTCTCCGGAGCTGTCATCTATCCTTTCAAAACTATTTAACAAGTGCTTATCAGAGTCTTGTTTTCCAGCCTGCTGGAAAGCAGCATCTGTTATCCCTATTTTAAAAAATTCTGGAGAGCGATCCAATTCGTCTAACTACCGTCCCATCAGTCTTCTTCCTATCATAAGCAAGGTTTTTGAATCTTTAATTAACAAACTCTTAATCTCTCATCTCGAATCTCATAATCTACTTTCTGATCATCAATATGGATTTCGATCTTCTCGTTTTACGGCTGATTTGCTATCAGTAATAACCGATACGTTTTATCGCACATTAGATAAAGGTGGAGAGGTTAAGGCCATTGCTCTTGAGATTTCTAAAGCCTTTGATAAAGTTTGGCATGCTGGTCTTCTTCATAAGCTTTCTTCTTACGGTCTATCTGGAAACATCTTTAAGATTATTAAATCCTTTCTTTCCAATCGTAGTATAAAAATTGTCCTCTATGGACAGCACTCTTCTTCTTATTTTGTAACCTCAGGGGTTCCCCAAGGTTAAATCCTTGGCCCTATACTCTTTTTAATATACATTAACGATCTTCCAGATATTCTCACATCTAAGGTGGCAATGTTCGCTGATGATACTACCATTTATTCTTGTCACGATAAAAAGCCAACTCCCTCTGATTGCTTGCAGGGGGCATCTGAGCTTGAAAAAGACCTCACTTCTGCTACAGCATGGGGCTTATAGTGGCTGGTGAACTTTAATTCAGATAAAACTCAACTTTTTTCGGCCAATCGTTATTGCAATATTTTAGACCTTCCTATATTTATGAGCGGTAATGTACTCGATGAGTCTCCTACCCTTCATCTTCTAGGATTAACTCTAACTTCTGATCTTTCTTGGAAACCTTATATCAAATCCGTTGCAAAATTAGCATCTGCTAAAGTTGCTTCTCTTTATCGAGCTCGTCACTTTCTTACTCTGGATTCTATTCTCTATCTCTATAAAACTCAAATCCGGCCTTGTATGGAATAAAACCTTCAGCCTCTGTCACATCGTCGTAATGTTGCTTCTCGTTTTCTTTTCTACAAATACTATAATGGGCACTGCTCGAAAGAGCTAGCGTCTCTTGTGCCATCTACTAAAATTTATTCTTGTGTTACTTGTCATTCAATTAAGTCTCATCCTTTTTCTGTTACTGTTCCTAAGTGCTCCAAAAACTCTTATTCCTTTAGTTCTTTGGAATCCCCTTCCCTCATCTTGTTTTCCTGATTCATATAATTTGCAATCTTTTAAGTCGTCTGTCAATCGTTATCTTGCTCTACAATCTTCATCTTTTCTCCTACAGTAATTTCCAACAATAATTAGTGGTTGCTTGCAGCCTTGTTGGAAGCGAAGATAATTAAATGTATATATATATGTTAAATGTATATATATATATATATAATAAAAAAAGTATATATATATATATATATATATATATATATATATATATACATATATATATATATATATATATATATATATATATATATATATATATATATATATATATATATATATATATATATATATATATATATATATATATATATATATATATATATATTTAAGGTATATATATATATATATATATATATACATATATATCTACTATAGCATATTTATATGCGCTTTTTTTGCTAGCCTAAATTAAGTGAGCGTTTTGAGAAAACGATGAGGGAAAATGAAGAATAATGAATGAAAAGGTTGCTGACCTATACCAAACCCTCAGTCAATGTAGCAGCACTCCATTGCGAGTCAGGCTATTTGTCAGTCGATGTATGTACTGAAGCCTCTGGCAGCACACTATTTCAGTATGATGTCATCATGCTTACCTTACTCAGCAGTATAAGATATATATATATATATATATATCTATTTGTATATGTATATATATATATATCTATTTGTATATATATAAATAGCTATTTGTCAGTCGATGTATTTACTGAAGCCTCCGGCAGCACACTATTTCAGTATGATGTCATCATGCTTACCTTACTCAGCAGTATAAGATATATATATAAATATATATATATATATATATATATATATATATATATATATATATATATATATATATATATATATATATATATATATATCTATTTGTATATATATATATATAGCTATTTGTCAGTCGATGTATATACATATATAGCTATTTGTCAGTCGATGTATATATATATATATATATATATATATATATATATATATATATATATATATATATATATATATATATATATATATATATATATATATATATATAAAATCTATAGATCGTGACGATATATTATATATATCGTCAAGATCATTTCACAATCGCTTAAGTCATATTTTTATAGGTTATGAGAAATAAAAATTATTTTTTCGTTGTTTTTTCTCTCATATTGTAATTCATACAACAACAAAAATATTTTCTCATCGGTTTAAAATAATATCTTAAACTATGTTTGTGATGTTTTAAGTATAAAAAGTCACAAACAGAAATCTAAAAAAATATTTTCAAAATGATTCTATATAAAAACTTTCTTTTTTGTGTTGTTTTTCAATAGGTACTTAAAGTTTCTTTTTCCTTATGAAAACAACTAATCAACCAAAACAACTAAATACGCACTGTATTTAGTTTAGAATCAGTTGCTAAAATCGTCGCTAAGGCGAAAATTTTGTACTTGTTTTCAAAGAAAGTAAATTTAAAAAACTTAATTATAAAAATATGTTAAAATATTTTTTCTAAAAATATCTTCTAAAAAAAAGAATATAGAATACATTAATAAGAAAATTTTTATTTTAAAAAGATCAGTATTTTATAAAGAGTACAGGAAAATTAATTCAGCAAGAGATTGGTTAGTCAAAAATAGTGATAAAAATGGAAAATTGTTATCATTTTTTTTTTTCATTTTAATGTGCTTTCATTACTTTAATGAAATAAAAGAATAATAGTTTTATATTAAAATAAAGAAATTATTTTGTTTAACAGGATCACTTAACCGATCGAGAATTCTATGATGTTTTTGAGATGAGTCGAGAAAAATTTGCTACCTTACCGAAGTGGAAACAGGAAGACCTTAAAAAGACATGTTTGTTATAAGTTCTAATTAATTTCGGTTGCGTTGTTTTCTCGTAAACAACCATTTCTAACTGTGTGTAATTAATACGGTTGCATTATTCAGTTTTTAAATTGGTTTTATATTCTACCGTTAAAAAGTCTTTCTTTGCAATGTTTGACATTGTCTTAAGAAATAATATCAGATTGGTATATGGAACGATGGATTAGTGTAAATTACAGATCAATAAATTAAATAGACGCTTTAAAGTTGTACATTTGTTCCGTTTTTTTGATATCAAACCAGGAGGCACTATTTTCTAATTTCGTATCCTGATATTTATTGCTGGTATTTTTTTTTTTTAAATATTTTTTTGCTTAAATATTAATGTATATATATACATACGATGCAGTCTTTTCTTGTTTTTATTTTCATTACGTTCACAGAAATTTTTATGAATTAGCGAATCACATTGTATGCATTTTTTGGGATTAATTTTTCTATATCCATTATTTATATATATATATATTGAATTTTAACGGTTGTATTCTAATTAGATACACAGCTTGATTTGTTTTCTACTTGTTTTTTTTTTTTTTTTGTTTTTTTTTTTTATTTTTTTATTTTTTAGTTGTCGTGTAAGAGATTATACCTTTAACCTCTATTAAATGCAAAATTGTTATTATTGTTCTGGAAATGATTTTTATATTTAGCATACTAAAATAATCAGCTGATAATAGAGTGTGGTTTTTATGCTAAGTTCACCTTTTATACTTTGTTTCATTGTTAGCTAAAAAAAATCACCAGGTTTTTTTTATGTCGTGTCACTCAAATGTTCAAAACTTTTTTTTTTCAAGATTATTTGTTTTGTGATATTAAAAAAGAGATTTTTTAGGGGCTTAAGCCCTTTAAAAAATTAAAGCATTTTAGATGCTCATAATAAACAAAAATATAAATTTAATTTCTGAGAATTTTTTTTTTCAATGCTTAATTGCTAAGGAAGCTACTTTATATCGTACCTACAAAATGCAAAATAGTAGCTTTAAAAATTGAAATTATTTTTATTTTTTTATTTATTTGAGTTTTCATGCTATATTTTTCTATACAATGTTCTTATATCCGAAGATATTGTTGGCTTAGCATAGGAACAGCCACACATAGTCACAAGGCTAATCCAAAGTAGCGTCCGTTATTGACCAACATTTTTGCGTACCGAAGTACTACTCAAGCGCTGAGTTGGCGGTGTATTAAAAAATAATTGTACAATAATTTTCAGCAATGTTAAAATTCTCAAAAATCATATTTAAATTTTTTTTTTTTTTGATTTTCCACCTTAAACACTATGAAATTTAGCACTTTTTAATTGTTCATTGCTGGAAACTACATGATAGATTTTTGACACTATGGTGCTAATTGAATTATTAATTTCAATAATTTTTTTACATTTTTTTATTGGATACTAAGATAGAAACCAAGTATTTTTGCGAGGACTTGACATCTGCTGGATCTAGCTTTGAGTTGCTATTTTTGGAGGATTAGCTTTCTTTGGTACAAACACGCCATTTTGTTCATATGATTCTAGAGACTTCTGGGAGTACTGGTTTGTAGCAACAATATTAGGCTAAAACATTGTGGGCGTATCGTGTTTTTAAACAAATGAAAAAATGCGTTTCTTTGAGCATTGTTTTACATGCAAATCTGTATTTAAAGTTTTAAGAGTAACGTATATTGTACTTTTATAAGGAACTTGGAAGCAAATTTCTTGTATAATATGATTAAATTTTTTGGCTTTCAAAATATTGCTTGGCTATAGAAATATCGCTGACCTAGCAGTAGTTAAAAGTTTTTTCTGCATTAAGTTTCAACGTTTTTTCTGCATTAAGTTTCAACGTTTTCAAATACATACAAGTTTCCTCAGTTTAAATTGTTTGTATAGCTTTTTTTAAACGACGAATTGCTTTAGTTTCTCCAACAATCGATCGCTTTCAAGTTTTTTTTTATGAAATGTTTTATATTCTCGTTAAAGTGCTTTTCTTATCAAAGCTCAACTGCATTTAATATTTCTCGCTAGATCTCTCTACGATCATTCTCTGCGACTAACATAAGTTTGCCTTTTTTAGAGTGAGTTATAGATTTTGCTTCATATTTATCTTAAAATCCTTTCCTGTTCCCAATTCCAACTTCTCTTTCAGTAGATTGAGTCTGATTCCATATGAGCAAAATAAACCCAAATGAGGATCAAGAAACGTCATATCAATTTTGAAATGTCAACTTGCAAAAATGAAGGAATCTGAAGAGAAAACTTTTCAATTTTATAATTGTTTACCCATTTTCATCCGATAACAATAATAACCAATACTTATTACAATTACATTCAAGTACCAAAACATTAGCTACTGTATGCAAAAAATAAAATTATTAAGTGGTTTTTGAGTATTTATTGAGTTTCCGAAATCACAACGGGGACCGGAACGCCTAAGAAGGGTTCAAAATCACAACGGGGACCGGAACGCCAAAGAAGGGTTCAAAATATTCTTTAAATGTTCATGCAAAACTTGGTGGAAATCCGAGTACAAAACTTATGTATCTGTGTCTTGATTTGAAAGTGTTAATTTTAGCGTTAATAACAAAGAAAATAGAGTATTTTATAAGTATCCTTCCTTTTATTCTCTTTAGTGTAAGTAATTTCAAAAGATTCCTAAAGAAAATGTAAAAAAAAAAAAAATTTTTTAATGTTAAAATAAATTTTGAGATAGTTCAGTTTAAACTTTAGTTTATTAATTGTTAAACTGAGTTTAATGTTTAAATAACTGAGTTTTAGTTAAAATCTAATTGTTGTTATTTATCAAACATTTATTATATTTATAAGTTTTTGTGGTATATGTATATATATATATATATATATATATATATATATATATATATATATATATATATATATATATATATATATATATATATATATATATATATATATATATATATATATATATATATATATATATTCTTAACTTATGTATGTTTGTTCTAATTTAAACCATCCACCTAATATAATAAAAAAAATCTCTCGCACTATAAGGTTAAGATTATCGACTATGGCATATGTAACTGTGTTTAACGATTCCATTCTTCCGTATGAAAGAGTTTTACGTAAATCAGGATACAATTCGAAACTAACCTACCAACCACAAATAAACAAAAATAAAATAAAAACATCGCAAACGTAAAAATATATGGTACAACCCCCCGTTTAGCAAAGAAGTTGAAACTAAAATTCGAAATCGCTTCTTAGTTTTAATTGACCTATAACTTCCAATAGGACAAAAACTTCATAAAGTTTTTAATCGAAACTATATTAAAGTTAGCTATAGTTGCATGCCTAATGTCAAATCTTTAATAAATGCACATAAAAACAAGATTTTACAACGCGATGAAAATATAACATGAAAACAATGCAACTGCATAGACAAAAAATTTTTTCCATTAAATAAAAAATGCCTTTTTAACAATACCGTATAATAAACTCATCTCAGAAAAACTTTCGTTCATGCCTAACAATTAATATAAATGTCATGTCTAATCATGAACTTACAGAAGATGAAGTATTAAACTCAGTTTCTTTACTAAAATCTAACAAAAGTCCGGGCGCTGATGATGTTAGTAGTAATGTCATTATTAAATCAATTAGTTTTATAAAAATACCACTCTTACATATTTTAAATTTATCTTTAAAACACGGAGTTTTTCCTGAAAACTTAAAATGTGCAAAGGTTACACCAATCTATAAATCATGTGATCCTTCTGATGTGTCAAACTACAAACCAATCTTAACTCTAACCTGCTTTTCCAAGATTTTGGAACGTGTTATGTATAAAAGACTTTATTCTTTTTTAACTATTAATAATATTCTTTAATATAAACAATTTGAGTTTAAATCTGGCCATTCAACCGATCAATGCAATCATCTAATACACAAAACACTCAAAGGTTTTAATGAAAACAAATTTACATTAGGCGTCTTTATTGATCTAAGTAAGGCTTTTGATACGGTGGATCATAATACTCTCCTGTACAAACTTAAAAATTATGGTATCTTAAATTATAACTTAACTTGGTTTAAAAGTTATCTAACAAACAGGAAACAGTATATCTCGTTTAATGATAGTAAAACGGATTTAGCAACAATTTCTTTCGGCGTCCCACAAGGATCAATTTTAGGGCCCCTTTTGTTCCTCATTTATATAAATTACTTAAATAAATTTTCAAGTATCTTAAATTCAATCCTATTTGCAGACGACACCAACTTATTTTATTCTGATAAGGATATTAATTCTTTATTTGAAACAGTAAACAAAGAGCTTGCAAAACTAAGCGAATGGTTATTAAAAAAACAAAATATACTTTCTTCCATCGTCTTCGTGAAAAGAGATTTATTCCAATAAATTTTCCAAATTTAGTTGTAAATAACTCTTATATAGTAAGAGAGCGTTCATCGTTATTTCTTGGTGTTATTATTGATGAAAGTGTGAGTTTGTGATGAAATGTGAGTTGAAAATATAATTCACAATAAAATTTCGAAAAATATTGGTTTACTTTACAAAGCTAAGCTGTTATTAAATCAAACCTGTTTAAAATATATTTATTTTTCATTTATTCATAGCTACCTAAGTTATGCAAACGTTGCCTGGTGTAGCACTGGTGTAGCACTAATACAACTAAAAAAATAAACTATTAGTTAAACAAAATCATGCTTTAAGAATTATTGGAAATGTAGTTTCTCACACACTAAACCTCTATTCATTAAATTATCGTTTCTAACACACTAAACCTTTATTCATTAAATTTAATATTCTCAACGTATTTCAACTAAATCTTTATCAAATTCTTATTTTTATGTTCGAAGTTATTAAAAAAATATCACCTGTTTTATTTGACTCATTTTTAGAAAAAATAAATCATCTATACCCAACACGATTTTCAGAAAACAATTATATTCAAACTAAACCTATTACTTTGTTACTAAGTTTTCAACTGCAAACTAAGTTTTCAAACTGCAAAAAAAGAGGTCCAAAAATATGGAACACGCTATTGAATAATGAGTTAAAAACTATTTCTTCTATTAAAAACTTTAAAAACAAACTTAAGCAAAAGCTTTTAATAAATAACAACGAATTAAAATTTGTCTGAAGCCTTTGACTAAGAGTAATCACGTTTTTCTATATATTTTGTTTCTTTATAAAATGGTTTAAGTATAAATTATATATACTGTTAGTCAATTTGTATAATATATCGTTGTTTTTTATTTTGTTAAATATAATAAACTTTAATAAAAAACATATAAAAAAACATGTATAAAAGAAACATTAAGTTACTAAAAATGTTTTTAAAAATTTTTGTTTTTTGTTTTGTTTGTTATTCGTGTATTATCTGTTATTTTATGATTTAAATTCAAAAGGTTTATAAATATAAAACCAGTTAGAAAAAATGAATTTAATTAAAAAAATAATTAATTAAAAAAATTTTCCTATACTTTTGGATATATTATACTCTAACATAGCGTAAAATGTATTTTTATTTTATT